TCAAAAAAAACAAAACAAAAACAAAACAAAAAAAAAAACAAGGAATCAGTAGGAGGACATTAGAAAAAAAAGATGACTCAAGGTGACTTCAAACACTGGAAGGGGTATAGAGAAGCCCCAGGAAAAAACCACCAAAAAGAAACAGGGCTTTATCTCCAATATAAAAATAACTTCTTTAATCATTGTAGCCAAGACACAATTTGAATGGGCTGCTTTATGGAGGGTAACAATGCTGGTTTTCATCCTGGAAGAATCACACAGAGGAAAAAGAGGCTGATTTAGGAAAAAGGGATTTTAATTAGATAACTCTCTAAAAGCCATTTTGATTAAAATGCTTGGGACCAGGCCAAGTGTAGTGCTCACCTACATTTTCCTGTACTTTGGGAGGGCTGAGATGGGAAGACTGCTTGAGGCCAAGAGTTTGAGAACCACCTGGGCAACAGAGTGAGACCTTGGAGCCTGAGGTGGGAAGATCACTTAGAGCCGGGAGGTACAGGCTGCAGTGAGCTGTGATTGTGCAACTGCACTCCAGTCTGGGCGACAAAGTGAGACTCTGTGCAAAAAAAAAAAAAAAAAAAAAAAGCTGGGACATAATACTTATCTGTCCACCTATCTATACTACAAAAATGATTTATATATTTATATTTAGTAAAAGTATCATAAGAAAATAAAGATGGGGCCAGGCCGCAGTGGCTCATGCCTGTATCCCAGCACCTTTGGGAGACTGAGGCAGGTGGATCACAAGGTCAGGAGATCAAGAACCATCCTGGCTAACACGGTGAAACCCCATCTCTACTAAAAAAAAGAAAAAAAGAAAGAAAAAAACATACAAGAAAATTAGCTGGGAGTCGGTGGTGGCACCAGTAGTCCCAGCTACTCAGGAGGCTGAGGCAGGAGAATGGCGATGAAACCTGGAGGCAGAGCTTGCAGTGAGCCCGAGATTTGCCACTCAAAAAAAAGAAAGAAGGAGGCGCAGTGGCTCAAGCCTGTAATCCCAGCACTTTGGGAGGCCGACACGGGCGGATCACGAGGTCAGGAGATCAAGACCATCCTGGCTGACACGGTGAAACCCGTCTTACTACTAAAAAATACACAAAAAATAGACGGGCGAGGTGGTGGGCGGCCTGTATGTCCAGCTACTCGGGAGGCTGAGGCGAGGAGAATGGCGTGAACCCGGGAGCAGAGCTTGCAGTGAGCTGGAGATCCGGCCACTGCACTCCAGCCTGGGCAACAGAGCGAGACTGTCTCAAAAAAAGAAAGAAAAGAAAAGAAAGATGGGACATATTAATATCCAGAAACACCTACAGACTACAGACTACAGATGGATGATACAGACTTCAAATATGTGCCACTGTCCTGCATTAAAATCTGAAGGACAAAGTAATCCCTTCCCTCAGATTACTTTTTAAAACCACAGATCTATGTTTTTTTAAAAGCTATAAAAATATTATTCTAAGAGCAGTAACTAGAACATTAGAACAATTCAGGTTTTAATTCACAAAACTGATCTATAAGTAGACTATTTTTAAAATAAATTTAAACTTACCCCTAGTGTGTTTTTATCCATGATTTTTATAGCTACCATCTCTCCAGTAAGGATATGGCAGGCAAGTTTGACCTTTGCAAAGCCACCTAAGTAGGAAAATGTATTATGAAAGCATAAGCAAGGACTCAGGCACAAACACCTTTTTATAAATAATAATTTTAAAAGACTCTATCAAGCCAAATTTTCCTAGAAGTTTGTGGCTTTTTTTTCCTGTTGCTTCTTGTTATCCAATGTCTAGCTAAAGGTTTTTTTTTTGTTTGTTTGTTTTTACCATGAAAGTGTATCTCTAACTTTGTAATAAAAAAAAAAAACAGAACTCACTTTAGAAATTTGCTTTATGAGGCCGGGCGCGGTGGCTCAAGCCTGTAATCCCAGCACTTTGGGAGGCCGAGACGGGCGGATCACGGTATCATAAGAAAATAAAGATGGGGCCGGGCGCGGTGGCTCAAGCCTGTAATCCCAGCACTTTGGGAGGCCGAGACGGGCGGATCACGAGGTCAGGAGATCGAGACCATAAAAAAAAAAAAAAAAAAAAGAAATTTGCTTTGTGAGTAACACTGCAATTAAATTTCCTTTATAGTTAACACTGCTAGAATACAATATAAAGTTGCTGAGGCCAAAGACAAATTATGTGAAAATTCCACTCAGTTTTAAAACTTTGAAGATAAGCAATTATTTTTCAAAACTGGATCAAAAGCTGGATAAATGTCTCCACTCAGGTAGCTAAAAGAAATCTCCAAATTAAAATTTCCAAAAAGAACTTCCTAGTAGTCTCTCCCATGGTCTTCTTCCTTTCAACAAAGGGCAACTCCATTTTCCCTGGTGCTCAGGCCAAAAACCCTGGAACCATCCTTAGCCCTTCTCTTTCTCTAGTACTCTAACCCATCAATAAATCCCACTGGCTCTGTCTTCAAAATGTATCAATGGTTACCTTGGGGGAAAGTAGGCAGGTACTCCCTGGAAACAGTCTATGTCTTGATCCACGCAGGGAATATATGGGTGTGTGTATACATATATATGTGTAAAACTCTGCTGAGATTATTGCACTTTGCATATTTTACTATATGTTATACCTCAATAAAAACACACACACATAGGTGTGTATATATGGGTGTGTGTAAAGTGTATAGAATCCCACCCCTTTCACTGCTTTTACTACATGACGCTCATTCACACCACCATCATCTCTAGCATCAACACCTGAATTATTGCAATAGCCTGCTAACATCTCCCTGCCTCTGCTCTTGCCCTCCTTCACCCAACCTCTTATCTACCAAGCAGCCACAGCAGCTCTGTAAAAACAAAGGTCAGATTACCCTTAACTCAAAACTCTCCAATGACTTTTATTTAGAATAAAAGTCAAGAAATAAAATAAATATTTAGAATAAATTTTTTATTTAGAATAAAATCAAAGTTCTTGCAATAACCTACAGGGCTTCTACTATTCTCCTCTCTGCTTGCTCCACTTTTTCTTACTGAAGTAGGTAGAAGAATTTTAAAACTGTATGGGTTAGACGAAAAACCTCATGCCTACCCAAATAATCTATACTCTCAAATAGTTGATCGAGCCACTACCTCCAAAAAAAGTAATAATTACCTGTCCCAATAGTTTCATGTAATTCATAATATTTGAGAAGTTCATCATAATCTTTCATAGTCCTCTTGCAAGTTTATTTAGAATTAGAAAAAGAACCTAGAAGACAGAGAGTACATAATCAATAAAGGAAATAATATCAGATCATCTCCTCCATTCTTACAACTGCAAATCTAAATAAGTCTTATGCATATACACGATACTGAAAAAACTGATTATTGGCCATATGAAAAAAAGGATTCCTATCTCACACCATATATAAAAATGAATTCCAGATAAAGACTTAAAAAGTATGAAACATAAACCTTTAAAACTTTTTAAAGAATACTGTCATTATTTCAGGATAGGAGAGGATCACTTAAATAAAGTACCAATAATAATGAAAACAATTAATATATTAAACAACATTAAAATGAAGAACTTCAGCTGGGCACAGTGGCACATGTGTTGTCAGCCACTAGGGAGGATTGCTTGAGCACAGGAGTTCGAGGCCAGCGTGGACAACAGAGCAAGACCATGTCTCTAAAAAGAATAAAAATAAAAATAAGTTCTTCTATACATACAAAGACACCATCAAAAAAAGAAAACCATAAATGTGAGAAGATACTTGCAACAAATATAATAGTGGATATACACAGAAAATACATAAACTCTGACAAAACAATAAGAAAAACTCAACAGCAAAATAAGCAAATGATACAAAAAACTTTTCTCGGCCAGGCATGGTGGCTCACGCCTGTAATCCCAGCACTTTGGGAGGCCGAGGCGGGCAGATCACAAGGTCATGAGTTCGAGACCAGCCTGGCCAACATGGTGAAACCCCATCTCTACCAAAGATACAAAAAATTAGCCAGGCGTGGTGGTGTTCACCTGTAATCCCAGCTACTTGGGAGGCTGACACAGGAGAATCGCTTGAACCCGGGAGGTGGAGGTTGCAGTGAGCTGAGATCGTAGCCTGGGCAAAAGGGCGAGACTTTGTCTCAAAAAAAAAAAAAATTTCTCAAAGAAACACAAATGGCCAATAAAAACATGAAAAAGGGAGTCTCTGAGCCTACTCTGGCTTGGGAGGCTGCCTGAAGAAAAAATAATTAAAAAAAAAAAGAAATGAGGCTGGGCGAGGTGGCTCACACCTCTAATCCCAGCACTTTGGGAAGCTGAGGCGGGTAGATCACCTAAGCTCAGGGTTCGAGACCAGCCTGGCCAACATGGCAAAACCTGTCTCTACTAAAAATACAAAAATTAGCCGGGCGTGGTGGCGGGAGCCTGTAAGTAATCCCAGCTACTTGGGAGGCTGAGGCAGGAGAATCGCTTGAACCTGGGAGGCAGAGGTTGCAGTAAGCTGAGATC